TAATTACTATATGGGGGATGAATTACTATGGGGGATGAATTACTATGGGGGATTAATTACTATATGGGGGATGAATTACTATGGGGGATGAATTACTATATGGGGGATGAATTAATATGGGGAATGAATTACTATGGGGGATGAATTACTATATGGGGGATGAATTACTATGGGGGATGAATTACTATATGGGGGATGAATTACTATGGGGGATGAATTACTATATGGGGGATTAATTACTATATGGGGGATGAATTACTATGGGGGATGAATTACTATATGGGGGATGAATTACTATGGGGGATGAATTACTATGGGGGATGAATTACTATGGGGGATGAATTACTATATGGGGGGGATTAATTACTATGCTTACTATGGGGGAATATTACTATACTTACTATGGATGACACATACACATCATTCATCTACTCTTGGTCCGGCCCCCGGGTCCAATATATGAACCCATTGCAGCCCTCAAGTCAAAAAGTTTGCCCACCCCTGGGCTAGACAAAGTCACTGACTGGATTCAATTATGGCTTTTTATTGATAAAGAGTTGTTTTTTGGAAAAATGATACAGTTGCTGTATATATTTCGACATACAAGAAATGTGTTTATTGGATCTTTACAGTTACTGACAGGTCAATCTTACCTACTTATTACAGTGGCTTGAAAAAGTATTCATACCCCTTGAAATATTCCACATTTTGTCATGTTACAACCAAAAACGTAAATGTATTTTATTGGGATTTTATGTGATAGACCAACACAAAGTGGCACATAACTGTGGTGGAAGGAAAATGATAAATGGTTTTCAACATTTTTTACAAATAAATATGTGAAAAGTGTGGCGGCCATTTGTATTCAGCCCCCCAGAGTCAATACTTTGTAGAACTACCTTTCACTGCAATTCCAGCTGCAAGTCTTTTTGGGGATGTCTCTACCAGCTTTGCACATCTAGAGAGTGCACTTTTTGCCCATTCTTCTTTGCAAAATGGCTCAAGCTCTGTCAGATTGGGTGGAGAGTGTCTGTGAACAGCAATTTTCAAGTTTTGCCACAGATTCTCAATTGGATTTAGGTCTGAACTTTGACTGGGCCATTCTAACACATGAATATGCTTTGATCTAAACCATTCCATTGTAGCTCTGGCTGTATGTTTCGGGTCGTTGTCCTGCTGGAAGGTGAACCTCCGCCCCAGACTCAAGTCTTTTGCCAACTCTAACAGGTTTTCTTCTAAGATTGCCCTGTATTTGGCTCCATCCATCTTCCCATCAACTCCACCAGCTTCCCTGTCCTTGCTGAAGAAAAGCATCCCCACAACATGATGCTGCCACCACCATGTTTCACGGTGGGGATGGTGTGTTCAGGGTGATTATTATTATTATACAGTATTTATATAGCGTCAAAGGGTATGCTTGGCGCTGTACAGTAGCAAGGGGGACAGAACATGAGACAAGACAGTAACAATACAATACACGAGGGGTTTGAGGGCCCTGCTCTTTCGAGCTTACAATCTAGGAGAAAGTGATGATGTGCAGTGTTAATTTTCTGCCACACATAGCGTTTTGCTTTTAGGTCAAAAAGTTCAATTATGGTCTCATCTGACCAGAGCACCTTCTTCCACATGTTTGCTGTGTCCCCCACATGGCTTCTCACAAACTGCAAATGGGACTTCTTATGGCTTTCTCTCAACAATGGCTTTCTTCTTGCCACTCTTCTATGAAGGCCAGATTTGTGGAGTGCATGACTAATAGTTGTCCTGTGGACAGATTCTCCCTCCTGAGCTGTGGATCTCTTCAGCTCCTCCAGAGTTACCATGGGCTGCTTCTCTTATTAATGCTCTTCTTGCCCAGCCTGTCAGTTTAGGTGGACGGCCATGTCTTGGTAGGTTTGCAGTTGTGCCATACTCTTTCCATTTTTGGATGATGGATTGAACAGTGCTCTGTGAGATGCTCAAAGCTTGGGATATTTTTTATAACCTAACCCTGCTTTAAACTTCTCCACAATTCTATCCTTGACCTGTCTGGTGTGTTCCTTGGCCTTCACGATGCTGTTTGTTCACTAATGTTCTCTCACCTACCTCTGAGGGCTTCACAGAACAGTTATATTTATACTGAGATTAAATTGCACACAGGTGGACTCTATTTACTAGTTAGGGGTATCAGAGTAAAGGGGGCTGAATACAAATGCATGCCACACTTTTCAGATATTTATTTGTAAAATATTATAAAAACCATTTATCATTTTCCTTCCACTTCACAATTATGTGCCACTTTGTGTTGGTTTTCAAGGCACTGAAGCTGTAGTAGTTCAGTTCAGCTCTGTGGCCAATGAGAGTTCAGCACCAGCAGTACAGTAAAGTAACAGGGAAGCAAAGAAAGCAGTTCTATAGCCATAATGGTTCATCCCAACACAGACAGACAAGGCCATTCCTGTCCTTGGAAATCTCTACAATGATATAAATACAACTCATATATATGGTATATATGAGCTGTTGATATTATTCAGTGAAGCTCTATAGGAGCGTTCATTATTGTACCTCTAAAGGAGAACACTCCCTTTCTAAGAGCCAGCACTGACCAAAATTCTTTCTGCTACTCTTAAGGCATGCTAAAGTGGCCTTTCACCCAATATTACTATATGTCATTTACCATGCCTTTAGAACTATTTAGCACTCAGTGATCCTGCAGATTGAAGACTCAGGGCCATTAGGCCCATATTACAAAGCTAACCTTCTTGGATAAGGCTCCTTTTTTAAGTAACCATTATTTTTAGCGGATCCCAATACCATTTGAAAATTACAGTCACATTATCCGTGTAGTAAAACCTTGTGAATTGAGCCAGATGTGCCTAATTTACCACCCAGCAGTATAGAAGAAATGTTGGAATTTTGCCCACAGTTGCTGACATGTTTGCTCTCTATGGGGTAGCGCAACTACAGAAATGTCTGCAAAGAGGGTGAAAAGGGTGCAAAGAGATTTGTGATCTGCCGATGGTCATGGCTGCCACTGTTTTGGAACATTAGTCAAGCAGATTGACATACATTCTAACTGGTGGTGATATTGTTCATCTTTTCCATCTCAGAAGCCTGGTAGAGCCATAACTCCTCAGGGTATTGTGCCTGTGTGCTGTACATAACACATGAAGAGGACACTGGGGGATGAGAAACGGCATCCTTCTAGCGCAACCTAAGAATCACACCTTGTGATCGATGACTGATTAGAGTAAACTAAGGGTTAATTAGGGGTTAAATATGAACACTTTTTTTTTACTTTTTAGATTGCTTTAACTGACATCTTATGCAACTCAAAGCTCATCCCTCTGATCTGCAGATGAATGAAACAGAGCAGATACAGCCTAACATCAATAGTATGTAAAGTACTGGATAGAATGGTAAGGGACTGTATCCAAGAATTTGCCAGCTAAATCGTTGGCAAATTGTATAGTATCATTAGTAGCTACCAACATGGATTTAGGAAGAACTGTTCTTTTCAGACCAACCTTTTAATGTTTGAAGAGGAAGTGAGCTGTAATTTGGAGAAAGGAAGGCCCATGGACATAGTTTGCTAAATGTTACTAAAGCGTTTGACACAATACCCCATGAATGTTTAATTTAGAAATTAAACCAGAACTAAACTCTCTAAGACAACATTAACTATTTATTTTTAAAGGTTCAGCATAGAAAGATTTGTCAGTACACCTGAACCACCCTAGGACAGCCTGCTTCACTTCGTCATCACTTTGTTCACCGTTCGCACAGAAAGATTTGTCTCTAGTGCAAATTCATGACAGGTTGTTCGTCAATTATTCAGGATCAGGTGTTCCATGCCCTGAATGTTCACAGGAATGACTGTTGTGGGCTGGGAACCACCATGGCCAGGATCATCACTGATGAATGTACGGCCATCTTTGAAACGTTTACACCATTCAAATGTCTCACTGCGGCTGAGTGTCTCATCACGGTACTGTACTTGAAGACTTCTGTAGATATCCGCAGGTTTCATGCCTTTGTTCATCTCCACACTTCGTTCCATGCACGCACTAACACTGTTGTCTGCCATCTCTGGACTGGCCCGCGACATGTGTGCCACCTATCAGTAATAGGACACACTCGCCACTTACTACTGCGTGTAGTACCGCCATGCTAGCATCCCTTTTTATACCTGTAAAATTAAAAGTCCCGGTTTGACTTGAACTCCCCTCATAGAAATCTATCTCTGTACAAAATTCTGGTTCGGCCACAGAATATAACTGGTTACTAACATTTATAGGTAAAGTTGATCCAAGGAATATCCAATTGACTCTCGGGGGATCAGGAAGGACGTTTTTTCCCCTGCAGGAGCAAATTGGATCATGCTTTGCTGGGTTTTTTGCCTTCCTCTGGATCAACTGTGGGTGTAGGATTATAACTTTTTTGGTTGAATTGGATGGACTTTTGTCTTTTTTCAGCCAGACTAACTATGTAATATCTTCAGTATGCCATCCAGTTCTTGCCACCAATCCTAGGGAGAGTCCATAGAAGGGCAACAGAATTAAAAAGGCAGCTGGAGGACCTCAGTCAGTTATGAGGAACGACTACACAAATTAAACCTGTTGTCCCTGGAGAAGAAGCGATTGATAGATTACATGATTGCAATATACAAATCTATCAATGGTGACCGTAGTATTGGTTAGAAACTGTTTAATCTGAAGGCTCTGAAGAAGACACCAGGACACACCTGTAAGAAAAGTTACAATGCTACTTTGTATCTTTTTATTTCGTGTTTGAGCAATGTTTATAAACACTGGTCAGGCAGTCCATTTTTTGGCAGCAGTAGCTTCTACTCTCTGCACAGTCCCACTTCTCCTGTCCTGTATGTCAGCAATTCTCATTATCTGTCCTTTTTCTGTATGTATGCTGCACAGTCCCACTTCTCCTGTCCTGTAGGGTGTAATTCTCATTATCTGTCCTTATTCTGTATGTATGGACTCTGCACAGTCCCACTTCTCCTGTCCTGGATGCCGGGTGTAATTCTCGGTATCTGTCCTTTTTCTGTATGTATGGACTCTGCACAGTCCCACTTCACCTGTCCTGTATGCCGGGTGTAATTCTCGGTATCTGTAATTATTCTGTATGTATGGACTCTGCACAGTCCCACTTCACCTGTCCTGTATGCCGGGTGTAATTCTCGGTATCTGTAATTATTCTGTATGTATGGACTCTGCACAGTCCCACTTCACCTGTCCTGTATGCCTGGTGTAATTCTCGGTATCTGTCCTTATTCTGTATGTATGGACTCTGCACAGTCCACTTCTCCTGTCCTGTATGCCTGGGTGTAATTCTCGGTATCTGTCCTTATTCTGTATGTATGGACTCTGCACAGTCCCACTTCTCTGTCCTGGATGCCGGGTGTAATTCTCGGTATCTGTCCTTATTCTGTATGTATGGACTCTGCACAGTCCCACTTCACCTGTCCTGTATGCCGGGTGTAATTCTCGGTATCTGTCCTTATTCTGTATGTATGGACTCTGCACAGTCCCACTTCACCTGTCCTGTATGCCGGGTGTAATTCTCGGTATCTGTCCTTATTCTGTATGTATGGACTCTGCACAGTCCCACTTCTCCTGTCCTGTATCCTGGGTGTAATTCTCAGTATCTGTCCTTATTCTGTATGTATGGACTCTGCACAGTCCCACTTCTCCTGTCCTGTATCCTGGGTGTAATTCTCAGTATCTGTCCTTATTCTGTATGTATGGACTCTGCTTGTTTTATGCCCAGCCCATGGGACTGAGACCTCTGAGTTGGGCATCAGGTTAATGGCTGGGTGAATTTTATGCTTTAAAGTAAAAGCTCATAGAAGTTTTAACATGATAATGTAATTTCAAAAGTTTTGAATAAATCAGCTCACTGGGTGGTAATAGATTATTATGGATCTCCATCAGTATCAGGGACAAAGAAATAACATGCATAGTATATATATATATCAATCTAAAATCTAATAGAAGCTTTAATATGTTAGACACATCTGAAAGTTTTAAATTGTAGAAATCTGCAGCTTTCAATAAAATAATCCCTGATGATCCAGCCTGGAGGTCCTTGTTCAAGCACTTTCCACTGTGGGGTGACATCACTCTGTTCCTGTCTCCAAATTATGCTTCTGCATTGTCACGCTGTCACATGGGCTTTCTCTGGAGACTACAAGTGGCTGTTTCAGCACGCATTACACAGGCATGGACCGCTTTTGCTGCCAATATGGAACCCACTATGAAAAATGCCATGCAGCCATCGCTGAAGTGCAAGTATGTATGAAGTGGCTGCAAAGAGGATGCAGGAGATCAGCAACGCTGAGATGTATGAAAGGATGTAGAAAAGGGTTGCAAATGTTAATAATACAAAGCAAGCTAATTGTCATCTAGTTAGAGCGTACTTCTACTTCAGGGGCTCGAGTAAAAGGTTCTGCTTTGGTATGAGTACTTTTTGGAGCTTTTCTTGGTTTGTTATCACTTTGTGTACATTGAGTGTAGATGGTTTGTTGTTTTTGTAACTGGGGGTGTGTCAGGGGGCATGTCTTGTGACTCCAATTTTTGGCTGTGAAAGTTATCCTTTCCCATCTCAGACAGTTCGGGGTAATAGGTGTGAGCGCTCCTCTGCAGGATAAGGGCCACCATCCGCTGCAAGCTGAGATAACACCCTGCCAGGGACCCCCTCATCCTGCCCTACCCGGGGGAGGACCCCAATTAACCCCCCGTCAGGAGAAAAACACTTAATGCGAGAAGCTGCGTGGAAAATCTGGGCGATTTGTCAGGCGCCCAATACTGCGGCAATTGTTTCTTGTTTGACTTCTGCTGCTCCCAATACATTTCTTAGACAGGAATCTGCTGACAATCTGCCCCAGTGAGCCCGTCTGACAGCTGTACACAGCTGGGAGCAATTTGTGAATTATTACAGCCTGAGCTCCACTCAACTGGAACACTTATATTAAGATGATTGCTATCATTTGTCTGAAACATGCCAATATATTCCCGCGCCCGGCTAATGGCCCGTCTATGTGCACCACCATGAATCGCGCTCTGTTTCCGACCACTACTTTCCTACATTAACCCCCTGGTGTGCCAAAACCCTCTAATATAGGTAGATCTATATACCTCTATTGTATATAATATGCAGCTAACGCCACATGTCACACATACCAATGACATGTCACTTTTAAAGTGTATGTCCAGACAAAACTTTTTTGGATGGAGTTGGAAAGGATTAGAACCCTTGGCAGGTTTTTATTGCTATCCAGGTCTCCATGAGAGTGATTTTACTCATTCTGTTTAATGAGGCTCAGGTTATGTAACAACTTTATTGAGATACACAACTTACAAACATTTCAAGTTTGATTGTTTGCAGTACTTGTACATTGCAGTAGATGGCAGCAAAGATGTTGTTTTATTACATCTCTCTTTTTTGATTTGAAAAACCCCGAAACATTTATTAAGAAAGTGTATTATTGCTGGGCTGCCGCACTTAACAAGAAACCCTCTTAAGCCCATTTACATTTTTGGGTTGCAATAATGCATGTGTCTTATGTCATGCGCAGGGGCGGACTGACAACGCATGGGGCCCCCGGGCAATAGGGGATCATGGGGCCCCTGTGTCCTTGCCCAAACTCAAAAAAGCCTATGAAAAAGGTACCAGGGGCTTCTCATGGGGCCCCCTAATGACCCCGCGCCCTCGGGCAGTGCCCGAGTTTCCAAATGGTCAGTCCACCCCTGGTCATGCGTTACATTAAACCCTGAGTTTAGTCAAACATTTTTTAAAAAGAGCAAAAGGGACAGTACCTACTATCAATGAGAAGTGTCCCTTGTACTGATGGCTGATGCTTTAGACCAGGGGTGGGCAACTGTGGCCCTCCAGCTGTTGTAGTACTACAAGTCCCATGAGGCATTGCAAAACTGACAGTTACAAGCATGACTCCCAAAGGCAGAGGCATGATGGGACTTGTAGTTCACCAACAGCTGGAGGGCCACAGTTGGCCACCCCTGCTTTCGCTGAAATCCAAAGACAAAATCCCCCCCCCCCCCAAGAGGTAATCTTCTGGTGCTGCAGGGGTTAATACAGGCCAAGAAACCTATGACAAACATTCATCAAGAGTGTGAGCCCTTTCTTCCCCCACCTCCTCTATTCATAGAAGCCATACTACTATTACTTCCATGAATGAAAAGTGCTCTATGAATAGAGGAGCGTTTTGCAGACCACTTTCGGGGTGTTGTTAACATACAAACCCGCAGCAATTCACATGAACGGGGTGCGATTCTGATGCGGTGTGGAATTCACACAGGAAACGCTGCCAGAAACGTTCACCCTATCAGTGTGAACCAGGGCTTACAGAGAACTTCTGATTTTGGTACATTGCAAAGTTTTATACATATTAAATCATGGTAATTTTTTCAATGTTGCACTTTTTAATGTGACACTAAAACAAAATAGCAAACGGAAGCAATACAAATAAAAAAAAAAGTTGAAATATTATTGATTAGAAAAATATAGGTGATAAATATCAGCAGGAAAATGATGTTTATGGGGGGAAGAGGATGAAGGAGTTAACTAGTGCTGATTATGGTTAATAAGGGGATAAATGGGAACAATATATTAAAGAGAAAAAAAAAAAAGAACACTTTTTTTTAACTTGGCTGTGTGCTGTGACATCATATGCAGATGGAATCTCCTCCCTTTGATCTGCACAGTACTGATGTATGAACGCCGGATCTTCCTGGCAGAGTTCCTAAAGCAAAGTATGCTCCATGTAGCATGCGTGTGCAGATACAGTATGTGTGTAAAAATTCTTCCAGCTCCCCAAATGCCAAATATTCAAACATCTGGTGTGATTTACATGTACAAATGCATATTTGTAAAAATACTCATAAAATACTGAACAGTAACACAGATTTCTGTACTTTTTATTGCTGATCTAAATGTGATGCTACTTTATGGATATTTTTGCACCTGTGCATGCATTGAAAGCAGTGGGCTTCATTCGGATTTCATTCGCTCACACGGGTGTACTGGTATTTTCCCTCATCAGTATGCACAGGTATTCTGTGCACCACCATTCAGGAATTCCTTTTTATGTCAATTGGGACACAGCCAGGGGAGGACTGACAACTCATGGGGCCCCCCGGGCAATAGGGGATCATGGGGCCCCTGTGTCCTCACCCACACTCAAACCACACCCAAAAAATCCTAAGAAAGGTACTAGGGGCATCTCATGGGGCCCCCTACTGGCCCTGGGCCCTCGGGCAGTGCCTGAGTTTCCAAATGGTCAGTCCGACCCTGGACACAGCAGCTGCATGGACACTGCCAATGCTCCAAATCAGACATCCATGTGGATGCATGACTCTGAATGAAGATGGTGTGTGTCTGGGACTGTGCAATTGCATGGATGTCAAATTGGAAGCAGGATGCATGGGACATCTGTGCAGTTCTATGTGGGTAAACATGGCCCTTGCAAAGGTGTATGCTGTAGTACACCCGTGTGAACGTGGCCCAACAAAAACACCTAAAAATTTGGAGTTTTTGGTGCCTGTAAATACAAGTGCCTTTTGGAGCCCTAAATACAAAAGTAACAATGTTACTTTGTGTTGCTCAATGTTTATAAACACTGTAACAGTAGCTTCTACAATTGTAGTATTTACACAGTAAAATGACAGCCAGGAACTTTTGGCAAATGGCCAATCCTTACACATACCCAGTGAAGAGACTGGCCTGAGGTGATACACAGAGATGAAACTAATCTTCCAGCGAAAGCTGTACCTGTTTATCTGCAGCCCTCTCTCCTCCACATCCAAAATGTACACAGTTTCTCTGAGCTTTCAGAAAGCAGGGGGCAGAGAGCTGAAGTTACACTATGCAGAGCTCATTGAGAGCTGATTGGAGGGAAGGGACACACACCCCCTTCACACGGCACACCAGAACAGAGCTGAGGCTGTCAGTCACAGGCTGTGTGCTGGAGGTCCCTCTCCTGACATCTTTTTATCACTTGGTGTCAGGAAAACTTGTCAGAAGTGGAATGAGGCAGCAGAGGAATGAGGCAGCAGTCAGAAATGAGATTTAGTGCTCTGGATTGAAGCAAGTACACACTATAGAGGGATCTGCTTTGTTCATATTTCATGTCAGAGGTTTACAACCACTTTAAATACCCAAATGGAGAGATGAGGGGGCGGAGCATGATACAGTGCAAACTTATCATTGGGAGGAGCAATCGCGGCAGGTTTTTAGGCCTAGCCAATCGATTGTTCCTCCTGGGAATCGCCGTGTGCCGTTCATTCCATACACATTGAAACTGTATCATCCTACATCATGGATGTCTTAGTGTAGATGAATGACACCGCTAATAGAGGTAATAATCGCCTCTCTGTCTGAACTCTGACCTCTCGCTGTCATCCGTGAGACGTCTCTGGGGCTAAGAACACAAAAAGCTGATACTTTGTACAAACAATCCGCGGATGTGCTGAGCGCTGTGTCACTGTGTAAACTTGCCCTGGTACTGCAGCCAAAGTACACAGAACAGGCTGGAAATGTGTCAGGAGCTGGCGCTGGGTCCTCCGTCCCTCCGATGGCAGGCAGCGAATCCCCTGCAGCGCAGGAGTGGGGGGGTAATTTACATTTTATGAGGGATTCATGTATCCATCCCAGCAGGCTTCCAGCAAATAAAAACAGGTAGAAGGAAAGGATTGGCCCTCGCCGGGGCCCGCGGCTGGGAAAGCTGCAAGAAAATCCCATTTATACCAGCAGTGCCCCCTGAGGTCCTAAAATAAATGTAAACCCAAACTGGATGATGTTGAGTTTGTTCTGTGCACTGATTGACGCAAGCAATTGTATTTTTCTAACGAATCCCTCGATTTCCCATTTGTCATCCTAATGCTGCTGATCCCGCCACCTCTTTGCAGCTACTTCCCGTCTACACGTATTCCAGCAATGGCTGCATGGCAATTCTCAGGATGGGTGACAACAGTGGACCATACCTGTGTAATGTGTGCTGGAACTTCTGCATGTAGTCTCTATAGCAAGCCCATTGCAGGGTGACAACGCAGGAGCACAACTTGGAGACAGGGACAGAGCGTTGTCACCCTACCACAGGAAGTGCCTGGCGAAGGACCGCCATGAAAGGACCACCAGGGGATATTTCAAAACTGCAGATTTAGAGAGATTGAAAAAAAGGTTTAGAAATGACATTCCCGGATTAAAGCAGAACTTCACCACTGCAATGATCCCCTCCCCCCCTTCTGTGCTGCCATCTTCAAAAATCTGCTGTGTGTGCAGATGAGCTGCAACTCTCTGTGGAGTATTTGGGAACCTGGCAGAGCCCTGCGGCACCCGTGCACGAGCCAGTGGATAAATGGCGCCAGTTTCTGGTATGTGGGCACTGTAGAAACCTGCGCATCCGTGTACATGGAGAGAAATCTCCCACACATGTGCGGACACATCGGGGGCAGCAGGGAGTCTGAGTGGGCTGAATCCTCAGGTGTGCATGTGTCCTATGTAACTCAATGCATTCTGGGATACGTGACATAGGAATCGCAGGGGGCAGCGGGCCCGACCTAGAGTGGGAGGGGGGGGGAGTATAATCAGGAGGGGAGGGAGGAATTACCTGGGGGGGGGTTGCTGGAGGGGAGTAATACCCTATTACCCTGGAGGGAGAATGAGTACTATTGGGTGGTGGGGGGATGTGGGGGTGGTATTACCTGGGAGGGGCAGAAGTGGGTATTATATTATTCTGTAGGGAGGGGGAGTATTACCAAGGAGGGGGTGACTGTTACCTGGGAAAGAATTTATGGGGGCCCATTGGGAAGTATTACCCTGAAGGAAGGGTATTATTTGCTAACGTAGCTGATGGGGGGTGGAGGTGGGTGTTACCCTGGAGGGAGATGGTGGGGGGGCTGGAGACTATCATCCGGGCTTGAGGTGAGTATACCTTGGGAGGGGGGGTGTTGGAGGATAGTATTACCTGGGTGGGGGGGTTGTTGGAGGATAGTAGTACCTGGGGGGGTTGTTGGAGGACAGTACAACCGGGGGGGGGGGGGGGGGGGGGTTGTTGGAGGATATTATAACCGGGGGGGGGGGGGGTTGCTGGAGGATAGTATTACCTGGAGGGGGTTCTTGGAGGATAGTATCACCTGGGGGGGGGTTGTTGGAGGATAGTATTACCTGGGGGGTTGTTGGAGGATAGTATTACCTGGGGTGTCTGAAGGTGGTATTACTCTGTAGGGAGGGGGAGTACAGTCAGGAGAGGAGGGTATTATCGGGGGGGGGGGGGGGGGGGGGGGGGGGGGGGGTAGGGTGTATTACCCTGGAGTAAGGGTATTACCGGGTGAGGTTGGGATATTGGGTGAAGGGGGGGTGTGGAGTGTATTATCTCTGACTATCTAAGTGATGTGGGAGGGGTGGGGGTGGGTATTACTCTGAAGGAAGGGGGAGTATAATCAGGAAAGGGTATTACCTCGGGGGGGGGGGGGGGGGGGGGCGCGGAGAATGTTACTGGGGGAAGAATTGTTGATGGGTGTTGGGAAGTCTTACCTTGAAGGAAAGATATTATTTACTGAGGTGGGGGAGGGGGGTGGAGGATTACCAGGGGGGGGAAATATAATAACATCATTGGGGGGGTATTACCTGGGGGATAGTAATATCTGGGCTGGGAGGAAAGGATTACCTGCAGGGGAATAAAATGGGGGGGGGGGGTAATTACCCAAGGGTGGGAGATGGTGATTATTCTGCACTATGAGGAGTGTCCATTGCGGGATCCTCTGCTGAACACATCCTCTGATCTCCTTCTCTTGGTCGGATTTTTTTGTCACTTGGGTTCCATTGGAGAGATTCCACTTCCTGTCCCTGAGACACAACAGGAAGTGAGAGGAAATCCCTCCTTGGTGTCACCAGAACAGCTCTCCCCTCTATTTCCCTTCTGGTGACATTGTGGACTTCCCATCCCATTTAGTGACACCAGAACAAATAAAGGAGTGACTCTCCCCAACGGGGACACAGGTGGACGGTCTGCCCTTCCACTCTCCACATTATCATTGGGTGGATGTGGGGAGAGGGTGGGTCAGTTACCATGGACACAACTCCCTTTACCCCTGGTTTACACCTCTGCGTTTCCTGCAGTGTACAGTCCATATCACATGATCTCCGCGTTTTCACCCAGTACATTTTTTGGAAAGGGTCAGCCTGGGTTCACACTGATGCTGTGCAGAGTTCACACCGTATCAGAATCGCACCGTTCATGTGAACTGCTGCGGGTGTGTATGTTGAGTTAACACCCCAAAATTGGTCTGCAAGACGCAGTGCGATGTGAAGAATCGGATCACATAAGTGTTCACACCCAGGTGATCGATTCTGCTACGGACAAAAAAAAGGGTCCAGTGCTATTTTGGTGCGGATCGGGTGTGATCTGAGATATACACAATGTATGACTCAAATGGCAACACACACAATTCGCATGTGATCTGCAGAGGGGTGCAGTGCGGTTCCTGCATCAATCACATGCGATGTGCCGCACCGCACAAGTGTGACCCCGGGCTAAAGGACTTATTTTAAACGCAAAACGTTGCATTTTTGGTTCTATAGACATCAATGGGAATGTTGCAGAAAAGCTTGTAGTGCATTTTTTTATACATTTTGCCGTTAAAATCTGCCAATCAATAAGAAAAATTTTAAAAAACGAAAAGGAAACCAAAACGCATCAAACACGCAACATAAATGCAACGCAACACGCAATGCAGAAAAGCCTCAGGGCTAGTTCACATTAGATGCAGTTCAGTGCACTTTTTTTCTGCATCAAAAACGCATGCACGGTGTTTCCATGTATTCCAACGGCCCTGGTTCACACCAGTGCAGTCAGTTCCAGTTTCCGATGCAGAAAAGAGTAGAACAAGCTGCATTTTTCTGCACAGAACCATACTAGAACATGGCAACCTGCATGAAAACTGCCCGCACCACGTGGGATGTGAACTGTAAGTCAAATCGTATCCGGAGTGCACTTTTCAGCATGAACTTGTCCGTACAAAGGAGGGACAGCCACCTCCTGCACACCCCGCCCCTCCAGGCACAGGCCACTCCCTCTCATTCACCGCCCTCAGGCTTTCCCGGTCTGACACGCGCTGCGCGCACACGAACGGGAATGCGCACTCAAACGTTGCCGCTTCTCGTATCTCCATGACAGCACGTCCCCTGACGTCTGTTGCTCGGCCCGCCCAGACCTATGCTTCAGATATGGAGACCGGGCGTCCTAAACCCGGTGCGTAATAACGTCACGGGAGTCACCCCGCCGGTTCCACCAATCAGTCCTGTTGATCCGCCTCTCCACAATTCCAGCCAATGAGAGTTGAAGTCAGCTGATGCACAATTTCCGACCTCCTTGTATGCGTTCCGGTGACAGAGCGTAGGATGGATCAGCTGACCTCCGGGTCCTCGGCCTCCCCTCCAGTGACCTTGCAGGAAGCGGGTCATGTGATATCCAGCGCCCCACCCTCCTTTTGATAGGGACGTCAACTGGGCTCTGTTACACCGCCCTCTTGAGCTCTCCTCCAGTAAGGATGCTGTGTGGGAATCATGTGACCCCTTTCCTCAGGCCGTACAGAGTGGGTGAACGGGTCATGTGATCGGGCGGCTCCTCCCCAGGCGTACAGTGTGGGCGGGGCCGCAGTGTCGGGCCGGGATGGTGCTGGCTCTGGTGTTGGCCGCTCTGGCCGGCTGTCTGCTGACGGTACTGGTGCTGCTGTCAGTGTACAGGCGGCCGGCCTGGGCCCCTCCCCCATCCTCTGGGCCCCCCCTGAAGGACGATGTGTCTGGCCAGGCCGGGGCAGAGAGCTGCCACTTCCTGAATGCCATTTTCCTCTTCCTGTTTCGGGAGCTCCGGGACACGGCTGAGCTGCGCCGCTGGATGCTTCGCAAGATCCGGGTGGAGCTGGAAGAGCTGCTGCTGTCCCGTACAGCTGGCCGCCTGCTGGAGGGGCTCAGTGTCCGCGAACTCAGCTTGGGGGAGGCAGTGCCTGAGGTAAGTGGGATCCGCCTACTCTCCCTGGGACCCCCCCCCCGCGGAATCCCTTCCCCCGGAGCTCAGCTTCGAGCTGGAGCTGGACTATTCCGGAGGCTTCCGCCTGGCCATTGATGTGGAGCTGCTGTTCGGGGAAATCTGCCTTCCTGGCCGTCCCGTCTGGCCCGTCTACAGGGCCCGAGTCCGCCTGGTGCTCAGCCGCCTGCCCTTCAGTCATTGGTCAGTCTGCTTCCTAGAGAGCCACTCATAGACTTCCAGGTCCACAGCCAGTTCGAGGGACGACCCATGCCACAGCTCACCTCCATCATCATCAACCAACTGAAGAGGGTGATCCGCAAGAAGCACACCTTCCCCAACTACAAGATCAGGTATGGCTAACCCCGCCACCACCATCTCCATCCAATATACCGATACCCCTAACCAGTCCACCTTCCCCAACTACAAAATCAGGTACGGCTAACCCCACCACCATCATCTCCATCAAATATACTGATATCTCTAACCAGTCCACCTTCCCCAACTACAAGATCAGGTACGGCTAACCCCGCACCACCATCTCCATCCAATATACTGAAACCCCTAACCAGTCCACCTTCCCCCAACTACAAGATCAGGTACGGCTAACCCCACCACCACCATCTCCATCAAATATACTGATATCTCTAACCAGTCCACTTTCCCCAACTACAAAAATCAGGTACGGCTAACCCCGCCACCACCATCTCCATCCAATATACCGATACCTCTAACCAGTCCACCTTCCCCAACTACAAAATCAGGTACGGCTAACCCCACCACCATCATCTCCATCAAATATACTGATACTCTAACCAGTCCACCTTCCCCAACTACAAGATCGGGTACGGCTAACCCCGCCCACCACTAATATCTCCATCCAACTATACCGAAACCCCTAACCAGTCCACCTTCCCCAACTACAAGATCAGGTATGGCTAACCCCGCCACCACCACCATCTCCATCCATAATATAATGAAACCCCTAACCAGTCCACCTTCCCCAACTACAAGATCAGGTATGGCTAACCCCGCCACCACCCCATCCATCCAATATACTGAAAACCCCTAACCAGTCCACCTTCCCCAACTACAAGATCAGGTACGGCTAAACCCCACCACCACCATCTCCATCAAATATACTGATATCTCTAACCAGTCCACTTTCCCCAACTACAAAATCAGGTACGGCTAACCCCCGCCACCACCATCTCCATCCAATATACCGATACCTCTAACCAGTCCACCTTCCCCAACTACAAAAATCAGGTACGGCTAACCCACCACCACCATCATCTCCATCAAATATACTGATATCTCTAACCAGTCCACCTTCCCCAACTACAAGATCGGGTACGGCTAACCCCGCCACCCTACCATCTCTATCCAATATACCGAAACCCCTAACCAGTCCACCTTCCCCAACTACAAGATCAGGTATGGCTAACCCCGCCACCACCATCTCCATCCAATATACTGAAACCCCTAACCAGTCCCCCACTTCCCCCAACTACAAGATCAGGTATGGCTAACCCTGCCACTACCAACCTCAATCCAGTGTACTGATACACCCCCCCGGGAACACTTTTCCCAAGTACAAGATCAAGTATGGCCCAAACCCTGGCGCTACCACCGCCATCCAGTGTACTGATACCCTTTCCCCCTCCCCTCTAGTGGCACCTTTCCCAACTACTAGATCAGGTACAGCTGACCCCCCCCCCCATCCGGTACTGATATAACTAACTGCTTCACTTTCCCCAACTTCAAGATCAGGTATGGCTGAAACCCCAGCATTGCTACCCCCATCCAATATACCAATACCCTTAACCAGTCCACCTTCCCTAACTACATGATCAGATACAGCCAAAACCCTGGCACTACCACCCCCATCTGTTGTACCGATACCCCTTCCCCCCAGGGTCACCATCCCAACTACAAGATAAGGTATGGCTGACCCCCCAGCACTGCCAACCCCCATCCGATATACCAATATCCAGTCCAGTTTTCCTTCCCCAGCTACAAGATCAGGTATGGCTGAAACCCAACACCACCCCCCCCCATCTGGTGTACTGATACCCCTAACCAGTTGGCCTTCCCCAGTTACAAGACCAGGTATGGCTGACCCCAGTACTGTCATCTCCATCTGGTGTACTCATATCTCCTCCCTAGGGTCACCTCCCCTCCCCAACTACAAGATCAGGTATGGGTAAAACATCTGATATACCACTACCCCTAACCAGTTCACCTTCCCCAACTTCAATATCAAGTATGGCTGACCCCAGCATTTCTACCCCACCTGGTATGCTGATACCCCTTTCTCCCTAGGGTCAACTTCTTCTGCTACAGGAAGATCAAAATTCCAGGGTTTGCCATCCTTTCTGGTGTACTGTTAACCCCCTTTCCCAAATACAAGGTCAGGTATAGTTGACACTACCACCCCCATCTTGTGTACCAATTTCTCATCAGGGTCACCTTCCCCAATTACAAGATCAGATATGACTGGAATCCCAGCACTACCACCCTCGCCTGGTTTACCAATTGTCCAACCAAGTCACCTTCCTCAATTGTAAGATCAGGTTCAGCTGGAACCTGTCACCTCTTCTGGTGTACCTATACACCTGACCAGTTTACCTTCCCCACTTCAATATCCGGTACAGCCAAAACGTTGGCACTTCCACTCCCATTGCATGTATTACTAGTTCTATCAAGTGAATGCAACCCCCTCTTGCGACCTCCTTCCCCAACTATACCTCTTCATGTGTACCCATACCCATGACCAGTTCACCTTATTAACTACAAGATCAGATATGGCTGAAACCCCAACACCAACATCCCTATCTGGTAAAACAGCTGCCCATCTAGAACACCTACCACAACTACAGGATCCAATAGAGCCAAAACTTTGCTACTTCCATTCCCATTGCATGTTTTTTTTCTCCTTTGTTGTTAATGTGACCCCCGTCTTCTGACCCCCCTTCCCCAACTACAAAGCTAGGTATGGCCTAGGGCTAGGTAAAACCCAGTGCTGCATCCCTGTTCAGTTTAATGATACCCATGAGCAGTTCACCTTCCCCAAGGAAAAGATTAATATGGAAAAAAATCTCCTGTCACATGTACTGTGACCCCCTACCCCATCTGAAAGATCAGGTACACCCCTGTCTGGTGTACAGCTACCCCTAACCAGTTTAACTTTCGGAACCCCGTACAGTAGACATTGTTTGGTGTACTGCCAAATCTCTCTAGTGACCATTATCCCTATCAAGGTCACCTTCCCCAACAACAAGATCAAGTTCGGCCAGAACACTGCCACCTGCATCTGTTGTACCAATACCCCATCCAGGTCACCTTTCCCAACTACAAGATGGCTACAGCTGTGTATCAGTGTACTGATACCCTTCATTAGTTCACCTTTCCCAATTACAAGATCAGGTGTGGCCAAACCTTGGCATTGCCACTATCATCATCGCATGTACTGCTACCCCTACTTGGTGACTGTGTCCCCTACCCTGGGCTCTTTCCCAAATTCAAGTTTAGGTACAACTTGAACCTGTCACCTCCATTCGGTGTACTGACACCCTTGATTAGTTCACCTTCCCCAATTACAAGATCAGGTGCAACCCAAAACATTGTCATTTCCACTCCCATTACAAGTACTGCTACTCCTACCTAGTGACTTTGACCCCAGTCCTGGTTTCCTTCCCCAGCTACAAGATCAGGTATAGCCCCATCCCTGACCAGTTCACCTTTCCAAACCCTGGTACTACTATCCATTTCCAGCCTACTGCCATCCTTCTCCAGTGACCACTACCCCTATGCAGGGCACCTTCTGCAACTGCGAGAACAGGCGTTGTAGGAACCCCTTATGGCCCTCCTCCCATTTCAGGCATGTCACTACCCTTATCTAGTGTACTGCTACCCCTGTTTGAGTCTTCTTTCCCAGCTACAAGATCAGGTATAACCAGAGCCATGGAATGGCTACACCCCCATGTGGTGTATCACTCTCTATTCAGTGACCACTACCCCAATCCAGGTCTCCTTCCCCAACTACAAGATTGTGTGAGCAGGACCCTGGCACTGCCACCTTATCTGATGTACCCATATCCCTAATCAGTTTACTTTCACCAACCACAAAATCAAGTATGACCCAAACCTAGGCACTGCTGCCTGGCCCCTTTCTCCAACTACAAAATTGGCTACAGTGCCACCCCCATCTGGTGTACTGCTACACTTGACCAGTTCACCCTCCTGAACAGTGGTACTGTCAGTATCGAATAGTGGTATTATCCCTGTCTAGCGTACTGCTAGATCTCTCCAGCGACCAGGCCGCCTTCCCCAAGTACAAGATCAGGTACCACTGGAACCCCAGCACGGCCCAATTCCCCCCCCCCCCCCCACAGTCAGCTGTACCATTATCTTTACTTTGGGTGGGTACCACTGGAAGCACAGCACAGTTCTCCCCCCCCATAGTCAGCTGTACCATTATCTTTACTTTGGTCACCTTTTACAAGATCAGGTACTGCCAGAACCCCAGCACTGGTCATCCCCCCCCAGTCTTTCCCCTTTACTGTCAGGTGTTCTGATATCCTTATCTGGGTCACCTTCCCCAATCACAAGATCAAGCAAGGTCATAACTCCGATGTTGCCACCCCGGTCAGTGGACTACTACCCTAGCCTGCTTTCCCAGCTGCAAGATCAAGTATGGCTGACAGCTTGGAGCACTTAAATCCAGTATACTGCTACCCCTAACCAGTTCACCTTCTCGAACCTTTGTACTGCTACCCCTCTCCATTCACTATCACCCCTGTCCAGGTAATCTAACTACAAGATCTGGTATGGCCAAAACCCCTGTACTAGATCCCCCCCCCTTCCCTTTATCTCAACTTGGGTCACCTTTCAAATACTACAGGTTCAGGTGGATTAGAAGCTTTGGAGCTGCTACCGCTAACCAGTTTACCCTCCCCCCATCTGCAAGATAAAATATGACTACAATACTGAGACCTCAAACCAGTATACCACTTCTCCTATTCAATGTACTGCTACCCTTGCCTGTTATACTGCTTTCCCTGCCTGTTATACTGCTACCCCCTGCCTGTTATACTGCTACCCCTGCCTGTTATACTGCTACCCCCTGCCTGTTATACTGCTACCCCCCTGCCTGTTATACTGCTACCCCCTGCCTGTTATACTGCTACTGCTGTGCCAAACCTGTATGCTGCCACCCCATCTGCTCCAGTCCTTGATACCGCTACCCCTAATCAGCTCACCTTCCTAGCTACAAGATCAGGTACAGCTTAGAACCTGGAATTACTATCCTGATCCAGTGCATATATGTATATTGTTTTAAATTAATGTAAAAATGAATTAATAATCAGTTTAAAAATCTAAAAAAGCCCAAAACATAAAATTGACTATAAACTATCATATATTGTCTGTAACGTCCTATATCTGGAATATCTGTATATGACTCATCAGAATGAACATGGTGCATGCGGGTGGAGGTTTTCCAAAGGTTCCACCGGAATCCCACCCACAGGATCGCAGCAGGATTTATTGATACATTACTATCAGTAAATCTAATCCAAACACAGTGAAATATGAGTTGCTAATCCTTCCTTGGGAATGCGCCAAACAGGAATGTGCATTACATCATATGATAATGCAAAAGATCACCATGTATCCCAGACAATGGTCCTATTTAGCTGGACTTTTGGGGCGCTGAAGATGTTTCGACATCATCCATGCGGGTCCCTCGGTTGTCATGAATGTTGAGAATACATAAATATCCATAAGAGGTCACATGAGAAGATGTACAGGATAACAAATTACACATTACACTTTTTGGACTGTGTGTTACATGTTAAGTGGGGGGGGGGGGGGGGGACTTGGACTTTAAAGTCTTTAGGAAGCCCACCTACACAGGTCAGTATCTGCCTTTTGGTTTCCTGCATCCGGTGGAGCACAAATTGGGTGGCTATTAGAACTTGTTGGAATAATATTGTAACAACAGTCATATAAGGTAGGACCTTCAGTAGCTCAGTGCAGGTAATCCTTAATATAAATGTAAAGCTTTCATTTTTGTCTAAAACAATAAACATGTCATACTTGCCAACTCAGGCAGCCCGACCCTCTTCTTCTGGGGTCCCCCATGGGCGCTTCTGGCTTCTCCTCTTCTCTTTGCCCCCATAGCGGGACTGTGTGCTTCCATAGATACACACAGTGCGGCTTAGCCATACTCTGTGTGCTTCCATAGACACACACAGAGTGATTCAGCCCTTCCCTGTGTGTGTCCATAGACACACACAGTGTGGCTCATCTCCGCCCCCTGCTGTCTGATTTTCGGATTTGATTGACAACAGCAGGAGCCAATGGCTCCCACTGCTGCCTCTGTGAGCGCAGAGAGAGAGGAGAGAGTCGCTGCAGACAGGCGCAGCACTGGATCGAGACCAGGCTCCGTTAAGTATTTTTTTTATTTGGGGGGGAGGGGGGGCAAGTATTTCACCAATGGCTTACTGTGAAAAAGTGAGAAGTAGTTCTGCCCTTTCGTTTTTCACAACTGGTTAACTATTCATGTAAAATACCTGTTAATCATAATAGTTTCTTTTATCTTCTTATTATAAAGTGACAACGCTATTCATAGCCTGCTGTAGCTGTGTCAGCATTGTCATCCCCCAGTACTTGCTCCCATTCATGGTCTATCCTGCACACAGCATGAGCTTCCTATCTTTCACCTGCCCACATCACAGGGAACCATACTTGCCTAATTGACTCTGGCTCCCACAGGAAATCTTGCTGTCAGCTCAGTACATGTGATCCCCCCGTAGTGTAGTCCTGCCCCTGCAGAGTTTGAGAACTGCATAGTGGTCATGTGACTGAAAACTAGCATAGAACATGTTTTTTATTTTTTTTTCACCAGATTTAACACAGATTGTTTGGTTATTGTGTGCCGTGCCAAAATACTGAAAAAGGCAATGAAAATGCTTTGTGGTCAGGCAGCGAGCTGTAGCCATTTGCAGTCAGTGAAGGCTCATGCTTTCTGCCTGGAGCAGATCTTGAACTGAATCATTCTTGATTTCTGAATCTGTCTAGAAAGTCTTGTTGCCGTTTTGCTCGTATCTCCCCCATAATTGGCTTCCTCTGCTTCTTCGACAGGTACAAGCCGTTTTTCCCATATCAGGTGCATCCGCCAACAGAGGAGCAGGAGGAGCGGACACTGACATTGCAGGACTTGGGGCTGGCAGAAGGAAGGTTGAAGGTGTCACTGATGGATTGCAGCAGGTAACTGGCACCTTCTCTCATCTCTGGTACATCGGATTGCTTAGGATGTAGGTTATCACATAGGATGTCAGACAGTTGGGTAAGGCAGGCACAGTTCATCTACTGAGTGGGGAGAGAGGAAACTGGACAGTGCAGGTTACACAAGGGGTTGATCACCTGCTGGGCTGTATCTATAGCTCAGAACATGTCTGTTAGTGACACCTAACTACCCCACAGCTTAACTTTCTAACAGAGTTTTGTGGATTGGGTGGGGCTTAATATGAACTACACAAACTGCTGTGGGGAAATCTCACCATTGTGGGGGGGCAGAGATGCAACAACTGCGGGGAAATCTCATCGTTGTGGGAGAGGCAGAGACACAACGTCTGGGGAAAATAACATCAATGGGGGAGGGGCAGAGACACAGCAACCGGGGGGGGGGGGGGGGGGTGGAATCTCACCATTGTGGAGGGGCAGAGATGCAACAACTGTGGGGAAATTTCTCATTGTGGGAGGGGCAGAGACAACAACCGGGTGGGAAATCTCTCCATTGTGGGTGGGCAGAGGCGCAACAACTGTGGGGAAATCTCATCGTTGTGGGAGGGACAGAGACACAACGTCTGGGGAAAATAACATCAATGGGGGGGGGGCAGAGATGCAACAACTGTGGGGAAATCTCATCGTTGTGGGAGTGACAGAGACACAAACAACTGGGGGGAAATCCTCACCATTGTGGGTGGGGGGTGGGGGGGCAGAGATGCAACAACTGCGAGGAAATCCCATCATTGTGGGAGGGGCAGAGACACAAAACTGGGGGGAAATCTCACCCCTTGGGAAGGGCAGAGACATGCATTGCTGTTGGGAGATCTCACCATTTTGGGTGGGGTAAGGACACAGACTACTGTGAGGATATCTCCCTATTGTGGGAGGGGGCATAATTTTAAACTAGGGTTTCCAAAACGTAAAAACGATCCATAGGATGACTTAACTTTCCCGAGTGTTTTGGGTGGAGGTGGAAAATGTACGGAGTAGCAGGAGTTAAAACACTGTAGAGCACTGCCTGGCTGTAAACACCTCAGCTGGTGAGTGTCAGGAAGTAACAGGATTAATATTGATTTTTGGCAGAGTGTTGCCATTCCCATAATGGCTCCTAATCTCATTACCGCCTTTTGTGTTTGTCTGGGTTGCTTGGGGGGGATTTCACAATCCATTGTGCTAATAAGGCCTCTCTTATTCTTCAAACGGTGTCTGTTACCTGGTGCCACGTGCCGGGTACCATCTGCTGTCAGGCGGAGCGCGGGACCTCATTGTCCTGCATGTGGAGTCTGGTCTCCAGCATTATTAAAATTTCATGGACGCTGTTTATAATTCACTCCCTGACCTCAGACAGAAGGGCGGCGTACAGCCACGGAAAATTGATTTATGGCGTTCCGTCGTCCTGCTGGAAACTAATTGCCTATCAATGTATCCGAACCATCCCCCTCACAACTAAGAAATCTTCCCTGTCATGATGTAGGCAGTACAGTGAATTGGGTTATACCACTCAGACTGTGATATAGCGAATTCACCGCTGCACTGCAAGTGTGCGCCACGGTCTCTGGAGACGATACAAGGCTGCAGCCATTGCCTGAAGTCCGTGGCCTTATAGAATCCACCATGTCATGTTCCTGCAGACTGTGGTCATGTGACCTAGATGGCTGTGGTCAAAACTGGGGACCATATTGATCTGCTGGGCTGGAAACAGGAGAAGCTACCACTGCTAAGGAGTAGGACCATGTCTGTAGACACAGGTGTTGGAGGGGTGCAGCTTGTTTACTCCTCTCACGAGTCAATGGTAAATGGAGAAGCTGCCTTCCAATAATTCAAGCCTCTTGTAAAACTTTATTGTTCCGGAAGATTACACAGAAGCCCTGCCCAGAACATCCTTACTGATGCATTTCACCCAAAAAGGCCTTAGTGGCAGAGATGATCTTTCCTGGGATTTGGTGGTTAATATGGTGGGCTTCCCTTCCTGTATCCACAGGCTGCATGTATGTCTACATCGGTTGGCAACTGCACCATACACCCACATGACCAGGCACCATTCAGTGTCTCTACTCATCTTAACGTATTACGTTGGTTTTTTGACAAAAAAAAGCAACTCCCTCTTCATGAACCAAATACATTGCAGGGATTTTAAAGCTGAGCTCTGGGCACAAAATGTTAAGCAGCTTTAGAAATGACATTGCTCACCTTCAACAGAAAATAATCCAGCGTGGCGGCCACTGTGGCATCACTGCCAGAAACATGCATAATAAGGGCTCTGTCAATTCATTTCTCCACCATGACTTAACATTTTGACTGACAGGTCAGGAGACTTCTGGTCTGTCATGCCCAATCACACCTGTTTTAAGCGATTGATAGACTCCCATTAATGTGATTTGTAGAGCTTTCATTTAAAAAAAAAAAAAAAAAATGACAAACAATGGTATACTTACCTGCTCTGTGCCATGGTTTGGCACAGAGCAGCCCCGATCCTCTTCTTCTGGAATCCCCCACTGGCACTCCTGGCTCCTCCTCTTCAGAGAGTGCCCCCATAGAAAGCTGCTTCACTTCACTTGACTTGTTCACTTGACGTTCTGGTTTTCTAAACAGCGCTGGGAAGTTTTGAGGCCAGGTCCAATTTCAAGTTATCTATATTCTTGATTGGCTCCCTGAATAGTGTATTTTTGGTATCCCTCTTGCTTTTAATTACATGCACTCTTGGTCTCCCTGGGAGGATTGACCCCCGTCTTTTAGAACATTTCTTTGGAAGCTAAAGCAGAGTTCCATCCATCCATCCTTTTTTTTTTTTTTTTTTTTTTTATTATCCGTGCCACACAATGCCCACTCGCAGAACAGTCTGTAATGGGAGATAGATAGATAGATAGATATATATATATATATACACATGGGTTGAAATTAGAATGGTTTTTCATCCGAAAATCGGACTTAAGAATAATCGGCCGATTTTCGCTCTGTTAGTGGGCCAATGGCACCGGTCTATTTTCGTGGTTCCTCCCCTTTTCGGTGATCGGGCGTGTTGGAAAAATTGTGAAAAACCACCGATTTTGGACTTGATGATGGTCAAATCGTACGAACGTTTTTTTCCGAAAAGAATATGCGCATGAGCCGTGACCTGGAAAGAACTGAAGTTTCGCCTGTTATATGGGGTGAACTTTATGACTTGGTCGGCCAAATTTCGAAATCATTGATGGCACCATTGGATTACCGAGTAAACTATGTTTTCAATTTTCGGATGAAAAATCATTCGGAATTCGAACCATGTATGGCCTGCATAAGTATACGGGGGGGGGGGGCCCTTTTGACAAAGAAGGTTTTTTTACCTTAATCCATAAATTGCATTGACGTAAACAACCTTTAGGCTTTAGAATCACTTTAAGCACTGAGGCTTAGAAAAGAGGGTTTTACCCTTGAAACACTTCACCTAGAAGGTCCACCTGAAAATAGTTGCTGACCTGACAGCTCTTGTTACTGCTCAGCAGAGGGTGCACTGTTGTTACCTCCATTCCTTACAGGTCCTTGCACCTTCCCTGCCCTCACCTGCTGCATCTCTTGCTGCAGAACAGGGGATGGCGGCGCAGGCTCCAGCTATGGTGGATGGTTTTCTATTGCAGGCGCTCCATTGTCAGCCTACATGGGAATTGCTATTATTTTTTTTATAATAAAATGTTTTTCTGGTTACTTCACTTGAGCGATTTCTGTCTTATCGCTTATAGGCCCTGGTAATACCGAGTACCTGGGAGCTTCTGACAAGCTTCTTCCTGGATTGTTGCTTTTTTTCGGTGGGCTGTGTGTATGGGACTACGTAGGTTTTTACTTTCTCATTCTCATCACAACCTGTTTTTATGGGGCGTTAGGAGGTATTTTGTACTACTTGTTTTCTCTCCTTTTAGTACTCTGTCTTACAGCTACATACTGGCTACAAGCCCCATTGCATGATTGGAATTGTAGTTTGTTACAGCGGCCTTACAAAGGGACCGGAAGGACAGTGGGGGCTGCTCTGATACCTCCCGCAGGTGCCCAGGAATATCTAGGGTTTCTAATGCAAAGCATTGACATCACAGACTTTTAAAATTTAATTTACTTTAAAAAAAAAAAAATAGCTTGGTTTAAAAAGTTAAATATTCACATTTGCAGTGGGTTTATGGACAGGAAGTATGGGTCATAATTATTAGCCGGCCCTGAGTTCAGCTTTAACAACTTAATTGCCTATTCATACCGGTTCCTGTTCTGAAAAGATTGCTGTTTGCTTTTCTTTACTCAACTGACTGCTGACTTGGAGGATTTGCCTTTGTTATTACCACCTGATCATGTAAGTAGAAACAGATCAGCCATAGCAAGAAAGTTTCTCCCCAAAAATGAAATTATTTTGTAGAGGATGCCTGCAGTTTGACTTAAAAAAAAAAAAAAAAAAAAAGCAATAAACTAATCACCCAAACAAGAAGGGAGATTTTTTTTTATTGGAGGGTGTTTTGTCACTGTGTACTGAGTTGCAGTCATACTGGGATGTGATATTTGAATGTTTAGTTATAAAAAAAAAATAAAAAAATCACAATGGCAACAGACTGAAAGAGAAATGTAAACTTTTATTTTAAAATCATTAAAAAGAGAAAAGTCCCCTGTGCCAACTATATACATTATAACTGCTGTTTAGTGAAAGTGGAGTTCTCATTTGAGGCTTCCTAAGGCTTGGTTCACATACGGTATATGTATTTTGTGTTTGATGATTTCTCCAGAGCTTTTTGCAGTTTGTTTTGCGTTTCTATATGCGTTTTTGACGTGTTTACCGCGTTTCACATTTTGTTCATCTTTTTTTTGTTAAAGTGACATTATTTTATTTTTTTTTGTAGTTGCGGGGCAGAATAAAAAAATGCAAAACACTACAAAAACACACTACCATGCACTTTATCAGCTTCTTCATTGAACTCTATTGTAGCAGAAATGCTGCTTTTTACTTTTAAAAAAGTCCCTGGCCCTGT